AATTCTGGGAGTTGAAGTCCACACATCTTAAAGTTGCCAAGGTTGAGAAACACTGCATTATAATGAAGCAAATTCTAGGTCAGAGTAAAGAAATCCTTCTTCACCATCAGAGCAGTTTAAAATGGAGCCGGCTAACTTGGACCCCTGCCCCGTGCAGGGGTTGGACTAGATGGCCCCCAGGTGCCCCTCCAATTCTACCCTCCCTTCCTTCCAGAAAAAGACTGTTTTGATGACGATTGGGCATTTTCAAATGTGCTTTTAGGGGCCTTCCAGGGCGTGTGCTGGACCCGTGGGGGCATCCCCTCTTCGCCCATGGGCTCTGCTGTCCCGCAGTCCCTAAACCACGAAGGAGCCATGCTAGCTTGATGGATCAGGCCCCCTCCTCCATTGTCTGCCAAGACGCAGCCCTGAAATTTGGAACAAGGCGGCCTCCTGGGTGCCGCTTCCCAGCGGCAGATGTGGACGGGGGCGGACGGGGGGAAATATTTCTTCCCGGCCGGAGAACTCGCGTTGACCCTGGTGGGTTTGCGTTAAGCCTGGTTGCCATGTGTATATGGGGTAGACTTACTCTCCAGTTGTAAACAAGTAGCTATATTAACTTGGGCAGACAGCTGGGCGGGATAACTTGGGGCCTGTGTTGCTGGCTGTGGGGGGCTCTGAAACCATCATCTGTCGGAGCTGATCGTGGATTAGGGTTTGGAGGGAAGCCCGCGCCTTTCTGAAGCCCAAATCGGGTTTCTGCAAAAGGAGCCATCGGAACTGGGTTCGGCAAGGCGGGAGGACTCCTTCCACACAATCGGTTTGCTTTGGGCTTAGCGGGGTCGGGGAAGTCGGAGGACCCCCTTTTTGCAACACGGGTGAAATTTGGGGGGCTTTGCTGGCATGTTTCCAGCTGCCGTCTCAACTTCTCTGCCACCCTGTGGATGTGCCTGGCTTCGCAAGAGGCGTGCAGTGAGCCATCATGGTTTCTTATTGTGGTTTGTGGCTTAGGGTTAGGCCCGGATGGAAATCAAAGACACTTCAATCTGGACTGAAAGTCAGAAGCGCATCTTTGCGATTCTCTTAATTCAGCATTTCTCAACCGTGGCAGCTTAGAGATGTTTGGGCCTCCAACCCCCCAATCCCCCCCCCGTGAACAGGCGCGCGCGGGGTTTGGGGGGGGTGGGGAAACACCACTTCCAACGTCACCGGGGAGAAAAGC